ATCCCCTTTGCCTCCCTTTCTAGCCCCATGCGTATCCCAGATGCAATTTTAGATCACACAACTGGTTGGTGACTGTCAACTGCCATAGGCTAGGAGGGAGAAGAAGGAAAGACCCAGGTCCACTTTTCCTCAGCACTGCCCCCTCCACACCCGGCCTGGGCTGTCATGCCAACTGATCCAGATGACAGCTACTATTGGGGAACCCTGTTCTCAATTCTTTATGGGAATGAACTCATTTATTTCCCACAGCGTCCCCACAGGGCTGGGCACTGCTGTCACTCCATTCCAAAGATGAGGACACCGAGGCACCAGAAGAGATGTCAGCTGCCCAAAGTCACACAGCTGTTAAACTGCAAAGTCCAGATTCCAGTGTCTGTGGGTCACGGTCTCCAACTGCTGGAATCACCGGGCAGGCGCTCACGTCCGATTTGCTGAATGAGAGCATGAGCGGAAGTCACCGCTCCTCTTCTCTTACCCCATCCACAGCCAGACTTCCTTCCCATGTGCCCCAGACTTTGCTGGTCCTGTCACCCCTTGCAGAAAGGAACAGTCTCATAATCCTCCCCCAGAGTCCTTCACCAGGGACCAGCTCACAGTCTGCAGCTGTCCAGGGCTGTGGCCTCTGTCCCCAGACCCAACTCTTTTTTTTGCAGCAAGGGGTACCAGGGGTTGAACTCAGGGGCACTCGGCCACAGAGCCACATCCTCAGCTCTATTTTGCATTTTATTTAGAGACAGGGTCTCACTGAGTTGCTTAGCGCCTTGCTTTTGCTAAGGCTGGCTTTGAACTTGAGATCCTCCTGCCTCAGCCTCCCAAGCGGCTAGGATTACAGGCAAGCGCCACTGCAATGGGTTACTTTATTTTTAAGACCAGGATCATCCAGGTTCTGAGCTGCTTGAGACGCTCCTTCAGGGAACAGCAGGGTTAAAGAGCTTTTGCAAAGCCCCCAGGCGGAGGTGGGGTGAATGGGGGCTGAGCCTGCCTGCCTCACGCTGGGCGAGCATAAGGGATGGCTGTGTTTTCGAAGAAGAAAGGACTGTATGCTCCCAGTTCTAAACAAACAGAGAGGGGCCAAGGCCCAGATGGGAGTCTGGCCAGCCACTGGAGTTATCTGCTTCTCCAGATATGTTCTAAGGATAAAGGCTGCCCACAGAAAGGTCACGCTTCATGCCAGATTAAACACAACAGGCTGAGTAACAGTCACTATCTATGGAAGGAAAAAAAAGAAAAAAGGTCCATTATCCTGAAGCCTCAGTCAGAGGAAGGACGGAGGAGTTTGGCCTAAGCTTCTGGGGCACATACGGTTACTCACATTTTTGTGGTGTTGGGGATTAGAACCCAGGGCCTTATGTGTGCAAGGCAAGCACTCTAACAACTGTGCTATATCCTAGCCCCCCATCCCGATTTTTTTAAAGATATTTCTTCAATTCTCTGCTTCTCATGTTCTTGTAGAGCTTGTTTAGGAGAAAGAGGAGCCTTTAGGAATATATATATATATATATATATATATATATATATATATATATATATATGTTGTAGATGGACACAATACCTTTATTTTATTTATATATTTTTACATGGTGCTGAGGATCGAACCCAGTGCCTCACACGTGCTAGGTGAGCGCTTTACCACTGAGCTCCAGGCCCAGCCCTGCAGGACTATTTTAAATTCAAAATGAAAAACTGCACAGCTCTGGACACTGGGAGAATTCTGTAGCTAAAATCATGAGCAGCATCTTTGGAAAGAGAAGGAATTAACAATGGAGAGAATCAGGTAGCCAGTACAGAAAGTCAGGTGTGTCAAAGACTGGAGCAATAAAATTGAATGCATTTATGATTTAATTCCCACCAAGTCCCTTCAAAGGAAGTGTCATTAGTCACCAAATTGCAGGCACGAGGAAACAGGAGTCCTAGAGAACTTAGGCGACCTGTTTAAGGCCACACTATTCCCTATTGACAAAGGTAGAATGAACCTAGGGAGTGGCTCCAGGACTCACTTGAGAATGTCCCCAGAGACTGAAGATGGGATTAATATTGTGCCCACCCATCAGCTCAATTATGTCATGTGTGAGGTCCAAAAGGGCTGCCATTAACCCCCGGGGGCTCATTAAACTAATGACAATTAAGTGAAATTCGAATTTCAGCCCTTTGCTATTGAACACCTGAAATGTTGCTAGTATAATTGATGGCCTAAAACGTTCATTTCACTTAATTTTAATTTCAGTAGCCACATGTTGCTAGTGGATCCCTACCTTGAAGTTAAGAATTTTTTTTCTTTCTTTTCTTTCTTTCTTTTTTCTTTTTTTTGTGGCACTGGGGATTGAACGCAGGGAGCTACACCCTCCTACACCCTCAGTCCCTTTTATTTTGAGCCAGGGTCTCATTAAGTTGTTGAGGCTGTCCTCCAACTTGTGATCCTCCTGCCTTGGCCTCCCAAGTAGCTGGGATTATAGATGTGCACCACCACGCCTGACTTGTATCCTCAAGTGTTTTTTCAGACATGATTCAGGGTTGTCCCAAAAATCTGAGGTGAAGAGGGGCTTTAGTTACTTTGCCCAAGCATCCACAGAAAATCATGAGGATAAGTAGTTCGTGATCTCAAGAGCTCAGAAGGACAGCCTGGACATTCTTTCTCACTTGGGTTTTCCAAGATTTCCCAACCTTGAACTCTCCTGGTTTCCTTCCTCACGAAGCCCAATGTGAGGCAATACCAGACAGACCCAGGCACAGTGGTCCTCAGAGGAGGGTGCACATTGGCACCAGCAGGGAGCTGGTTTGAATGCAGATTCCGGAGCCCACCTCTGAGTCCTGCTGCAGGGGCTCTCTGGGAGGCCAGGGAGGCCACGTTTTCACCCAGCAGCCTGATGGTTCTAACGCAGGTGGTTGAGCTCCGAGAAACTCAGACACTCTGCTTCAGAGCTGAAGGACATATTTATCTGCTGGCCTCTTAAATAATTATAGCACATAAATCTTTCGAGAATAACACAGGCGGGCTGGAAGCCAGGCAGTTATCACTATGCATTGATGGCTGGCCTCTACGATGTCAGGGAGACCTGCCACCAGGGCCTCTTTTTTTTTTTTTTTTAATCTGAAACACAAGGGTAAAGAGATTTACTGTGTGTGTGTGTGTGTGTGTGTGTGTGCGTGTTTTGGTGTTGGGGATTGAACCCAGGGGCACTCAACCACTGAGCCCCTCCCTAGCCCTTTTTCTATTTTATTTGGAGACAGGGTCTCACTGAGTTGCTTAGGGCCTCGCTAAGTTGCTGAGGCTGGCTTTGAACTCGAGATCCTCCTGCCTCAGCCTCCTGAGCTGCTGGGATTACAAGTGTGTGCCACCGCACCTGGCAGATATCTGCTTTTTATCCTTGGGGACAGATGGGAACACAGATGTGAAAGCATCTGAGGGGAGATAAAAGGTAAACACACTGTATAGACATCCTATGACTCAGAAATAGGTTCTGTCTAGCAGAAGGTTTAAGTAGGTTACACATTTTTAAAAAATCCATGTTTTTAACCATGCTTAGAAAAACTGGAAGATCTGAGAAGATGTGGCTCATGTTAGGTTAGTGGCCTGAGGTGGCTAAGAGCTGGGCTCTCGAGTCTTATGTGCAGCCTTATCCGCTCCAGTACTGAAAAGCTGGGTGACTGGGCAAACCCCTTGACCTCTCTGTTTTTCAGTTTCTTCAACTTCAAAATGAGAATTGTAACACACTCCCCTTATAATTAGTAACAATTTAATAAAAGGAACTAATATTTCTAGTGCGCCTAGAGTAATATTAGGCATGTAGTAAGAGTGATGTACATGTTCGCTAAATAAAAAAGATTCCTGCACATGGAAACCGGCAGCAGGTGGAGCTAAGTAATCACTATCCCCTTCAGATGCGGTTGACACACAAACTATCGCAATCACAGGCCGACACCTTTGACTATGGGGTCCCTAGTGTAAGAAGTCCATGTGTGGCCCTGGTTCCCCACCCTTAAAGGGACAGACAGACTTAGTGCGTCTTAGAACAGTTCCTGTCAAACTTTCGTGATGAGGGACCGGTTGGTTTTATTTTCCATCCACTGTCGACCAGTGCATGGCGCTGCCCATGGCAGATACACCGCCCTCCCCACCTGTGACTGGTGGTCTACTGCCTGCTGGAGAGGATGAGCCCTTGATCGTGAACTTGACTATGGCAGCAGTGGCGAGCTGAGCCTACTGTACAGCGATCGCTCCCATCTCAACCAACATCTAGTCTTCGCAAGCCGGCTGGATGACCGTGCTGCGGGCAGCATGCGCGAGGGCCTCTCCCTCTCTCCACTTGGGCCATTCCCGCCCGCCAGCCTTTCCTCGTCTCTCTCTGAACACTGCTGCGTCTTTATCTGCAGTGGGACTCACAACAGCCTCAGCCTCTGTGCTACGAGCCTTGAGGTCCCAAGCACCCCCAGGCTGGGACACTGGGTATTGCATATACTGCCATCCGCTTCCAGCAGCCCCTTCTCCTGAAAGTTGTCTTTGGCCAGTGGGAGGTGCCTCGCCCAGGCCACGCCCATGGCCTTGCCTAAACCACGCCCATGGTCTCACCCAGGCCACGCCCATGGCCTCACCTAAACCTCGCCCACAGCTTCGCCCAGGCCACACCCATGGCCTCACCTAAGCCACGCCCATGGCCTCGCCTCCCAGCCACTCCCCAGCAGCCCAAAGCCAAGGACCAAGGGGCAGGGTGGCCCGAGATGTCAGCGCCTGAAATGACTCTCTGGTCCCATTCACCCTGCAGAGGAGGTGTCCACACTCACTCGGCTCCTCGTCTGGTCCTGTCCTGTTCCTAGAGTCCCTCCATCATCAGGCCACCTACAGGGAACCTCAGTAAGGACAGAAGCCACCTGGAACCCGGGCTGATGGTCCTTGGGGCAGCAGGCAGGTGGCGGGAAAGACCCTGAGATCCCGAGGACCAGCGCCCAGCCACCCAGCGCTCAGCCCCCAGCGCTCCCCCGCTGTTTCGAGGCCGGGAACCTACCTGTGGCGTTGGACAGGGCTAGGGACTCCATGGAGCCGCGGGGGGTCTGCTCGGTGGGCGTCATGTCCTCCGTGTATTTCAGGGAGCTGATGGGATGGCGGGGCCGACACTGCTGAGCCGACAGGCCGCCGCCGCCCTCCTCCTCCTCCTCCTCTTCCTCCTCCTCCTCGTACTTGGGGACTTGGATGCTGCCTCGGGGCTCACTGAAGCTTTGACTGGACATGTCACTGTAGCTCTCCTGGGACCTGAGCCTCCCTGGGTAATAGTCCTCCCGGCAGTCCTTGATGAAGCTGCCGCCGTGTCCCTTCATGGCCATGGACGAGCTCCTCTTGGGGTTGTTGAAGTGCTTGGGCCACATGTCGGGCTGGGCGCCGGCCGCCTGTCCCCCCGGACTGTAGGAAGTCCTGATGTTGCACTGGCTCAGCAGCTGCAAGGGGCTCTGGGCCTGGTTCTGCTCCATCTTGTTCCCGTAATGGTAGGGCTCATCTCGGCTCCTCCAAATGGGGTCCCGGTTGAGGCTGGGCGTCTGGCTGGACAGGCTGAGCAGGTCCATCTGCAGCGACAGGGGGTCCACGTCGGCCGACAGCCGGTTGGAGCTCACCTGCAGCTGGCTGTGCTGGTTCAGCATGGCCTCCTCCGTCTTGCCCTTATTCTTGCCGATCTTGGCGCTGCGCCGGGACTCCTTGGCTCGGGCGTTCTGGAAGGCGGAATCCGACGAGTCGGAGCCGTTGGGGTCCTCCCCGGCGCTGCAGGCCCTGGAGCAGAAGATCTGGCCCTGCTTCGGGAGGAATGGCCGCCCCAGGAGGGACTTCTTGCAGTGAGCACAGCAGAAACAGGTCTCGGTGGCGTGCCAGTGCTGCCCGTCGTAGGTCATCTGACCTTGGTCGATCCCTGCAGAAGTAAGAGACAGGGAGGAGGCTGAGCGGCTTTGAGCATCGCATCACCACAGGATAAAGCTCCCTGGGCTGCCTCAGGATGCAGAAGAATAATGTAGCAAAAAACAGCCGGCACGACAGCACAGACCTGTCATCCCAGCAGCTCGGGAGGCTGAGGCAAGAGGATAGCAAGTTCAAAGCCAGCCTCAGCAAAAGTGAGGTGCTAAGCAACTCAGTGAGACCCTGTCTCTAAATAAATACAAAATAGGGCTGGGGATGTGGCTCAGTGGTTGAGTGCCCCTGAGTTCAATCACTGGTACTAGGGGAGGGGGGTGGAAATCAATGACCAGTCCCCATATTCTCTTAGAGTTTATCCTACCAGCTTCTCCTAACTTGTTTGCTCCCAACACAGAGACTCTAGATTAAGTGTTCCTGAATCCAATTCCCTGTACCAAAAAAAAAAAAAAAAAGCCCATCCATGCATTCTTCCTGGGATACATTTTCCCCAAACAAACAGTAATACAGGTTGCACATCTCTAATCCCCAAATCCAAAATCCAAATGCTCTAAAGCCAAAGCCTGAGACTTCCTGAGTGTCAACTTGGCACCACCATGGGCAGAAAACTCCATATAATGAAACTTGGCTTTGTGCACAAATAATTAAAAATAATATATAAAGTTATCTTCAGGCTACGTGTGTAAGGTGTATAGGAAACCCAAGTGAATTCTGTGGTTAGAATTGGGTCCCATCCCCAAAGAATCTCATTATATATATGAACATTCCAAACTCTGAAAAATCTAAACTCTGAAACACTTCTGGGATCAAGAATTTCAGAGAAGGGGTCCTCAACCTGTAAAAATACTAATATGAAAAAGCAATGATTTAGGCATTTTGCTTTACGCATTTTGTACGAATGTGTGTGTGTGTGTGTGTGTGCAAACTCATTTAATCATTAACTGTTTGGTAACTGTTTGATGTAGGTTTATAGTATTATTTATCATCATCATCATCATCATCATCATCATCATCATCAATATTTTGGTACTAGGGATTGAACCCAGGCATGCTCTACCTCTAAACTACACCCCCAGTCTTTTTTATTTCTATTTGGAGTTAGAGTCTAAGTTGTTGAGGGTCTCACTAAGCTGCAGAAGCTGGTCTCTAACTTGTGATCCTCCTGCATTGTCCTCCTGAGTTTCTGAGTATTACAGGCATGCACTGCTGTGCTGAGCAGATTTGTGTTACTTATCCCATTTTTCAGATGAGGAAAACAAAGGCACAGATGCCTAAAGTAATATAATGGAATCAGAGATGAGCTGTACCCAGAAGTCTTACTCCTAACCATGATAGGAATCCTGTCCCCTTCACTCAACTTAGGTGTCAGTTCAAATGCCAACTCCTTGGAGAGGTCTATGTGCCCACCACAATAGCAGCTCTCCTCACTCTCCACCCTTCCCTGATGTCTTTTTCGTCATAGTATTAATACTGCCAGATGCATTATTGTAGGTCCGCATTGGTTTATTATTTCTCTTTGTCCCTAAAAGTGATGCTTTATGGAGACAGGGTCATTAAGTTTCCTGTGGTATCTCCAGGACTCAGAACATGGCCTGGTGCATGATAGGGTTCCTCCCATATTAAACGAATGGGTGAACTGAACCCCATAACCAGTGTAAGTCATCCCAATGAGTAAGCCACAGGAGTAGCTATGGTCTAAATGTACATCTCCCCTCCAAATTCCTACGTTGAAACCCTAACCCCCCAGGGGACTAGATTAGGAGGACTTTTGAGAGGGAATTAGGTCAGGAGAGTTCTGCCCTCATGAATGGGATTAGCGCCCTTATAAAAGAGGCCCAAAGGGATCTGCTTGTCTCTCCTGCTCTGTGAGGACACAGCAAGAAGGCATCATCTAAGAACCAGAAATGGGCCCCTACCAGACACCAAATTTGCCAGTGCATTGACCTCAGACTTTCCCATCTCCAGAAACCTGAGAAATACACGTCTGTTGTATTACTTTGGAGGATGGGTGCTGAGGATTTGAACCATGTTCTATCTTACACTATTTCAGCACACCAAAGAGACCGAGGCAGTGTGTCATGGTTTGGATATGCAATGTCCCCCCAAAGCTTATGTTAGACAACGCAGGAATGTTCAGAGGTGAAATGATTAGGTCAGCCATGAATTAGCTGTGAATCCACTAATCAGTTGATTAATCCACTTGCTGGGTTAATTTGAAAGGACAACTGTATTGGGCAGTAACTTGGGTAGGTGGGTGTGACTGGAGGAAATGGGTCACTGGGGGCCTGTTTGGGGGATTGTATCTTGTTCCCTTGGCTCCATACTACCCCTCTCTGGCCATGTCCTGAACTGCTTTCCTTCACCACGCCCTTCCACCATGATGTTCTGCCACACTTGGGCCCACCGCAATAGATGTAGCCAACCATGAACTGAACCTCTGAAACTGTGAGCCCAAATAAATCTTTCTTCCTTTATGTTTTGCTTGTCGGCTATTTTGGTCAGTGACAAAATGCTGACTAATGAACAGTGGAATAGAAAAAAACTGTGGACTTTAATTCTTGGTAAGAAACATGCTGCTCCAGGTAAGGAAAACGTTGGGCCCAGTTTGTGAAAGACATGATCCTCCATGGGCATGCACACCCGTCCCTTAAGAATACCAGGAAAGGGAGACGGAGCTGCCCTGCTGGTGGGAGTCTGCCTGGTTTATACATTCTGAGCACTGGAGAGCTTCTCTCAGCCCCTAAGGTCCTTCCTCTCACCAGCTCTCCTGCCTCTTCTGGTGTGCAACTTAATCTCCCTGCCATTCTCATGCCATGATCTTGGGGTGGGGCTAAAGCCACTGTAGGACCCAACCCTGGCCAGTAACAACCTGTCTGTCCCTATCTCCCAGCCCCAGGGGCAGGCTGGGATCAGGCACATGACCTGCACTAGGCCAGTGGGCTTTGGAGTTACATAGTACAGTGTTTTTATTTACTTCTTTTTTTGCAGCAGCTGATGAACTGGCAGAATGGCAGCTGGAGATGTTGGATTATGTCAGTGCACAATGACAAGCCTCCTCAGGAAGGCAGAGTCCACGGGGTCCATCTCCAGTGGCCACAGCTCCTGAGCCTGGCCTTTGAAGGGATGACTTCTAGAGACTTGCCTAGAGAGGCAGTGACAAGAAACTGGGGGGAAACAGGCAGGAGAAGTGGTGCCTGCAAAGCAGCCTCTTCCCTCCGGGCCACCCCAAGTGACAGGCCCACTGTGAAACCAAATCCATCCCCATAAGCACCAGGTTCCCAGGGGAAATGAGCTGAGGAGTTGGCTCTGAGGCTCCACCCACACGTCCTCAGCTCTGTGGCTCCGCCCACACTTCTTCTGTTCTGTGGCTCCACCCACACACCCTGAGGCTCCACCCACACTTCCTCAGTTCTGCGGCTCCCCCCACACACTTCCTCAGCTCTGCGGCTCCGCCCACACTTCCTCAGGGCCAAGACTCCGCCCACACTTCCTCAGAGCCGAAGCTCCACCCACAAGTCCTTAGCTCTGTGGCTCCACCCACACTTCCTCACAAAGGCGGGTTCAAATCCCCAGTTCCACCCCATTCCAGTGGCTTCTCAAGCTGCCCAGCCCACCTGCTTGGGTTCAGATTTGAGCTCTCATTCTTTCCAGCTGTATGACCCTAGGCAAGTGGCTTCAGTCTCTGTGCCTGGGTCTCCTCAGCGGTACAACGGGGACGATTGCAGTTCTTACTTTGGAGGATGGGTGCTGAGGATTTGAACCACGTCCACAGACCTGGACCTGTTACCTGTTCTTTTTAATTAATTAATTAAGTTCACAGTAGAGTGCATTTTGACATAGTACACACACGGAGCCAGACTTGTCATTGCTCTGGCTGTGCGTGGTGCAGTCCCTCCAAGCAGTGCAGCCCTACCCGTCCACAGGGTAACAAGACCTGTCTCTTACCGTCCTTCCCCACACCCCACCCCTCCTTCCCTCTACACAAACCACAGCTCCTTCATTCTTCCCATCCCCCAGCCCCACTGTGGATCAGCATCCGCTTATCAGAGAAAACATGCGGCTTTTGGCTTTGGGGGACTGGCTTATTTCACCTAGATGTCACCTTATTCTAACTGTTCTTTTCTTTTTATTAGGAGTGAAAGCCTGGCTCCCTCTTCGCCAAGGGCCACTGCCTCCTGCAGCCCAAGAACAAACCCTGAGGTCACGTGGTCGCCTTCCCTCTCCTCCTTTTCCCTTCCCCTCGCTGAGCCAAGGGTCCCAAGGGCTCATGCTGACAACCCCCACTGCCCTGAGCCCTTGGCTGTGAGCAGCTCCTCAGTCAGGGACACCCCCAGGGGTGTGGCCCCACCCACGCCCTGCCAGAGGTGCGGGGAAGCGCAGGGCAGGTCTCCTGGGCTCCACCAACTGTTCTCTTAGAAATCAGCAGGGGCATCTCTGAGATGCAGCAGCAGGGGCCTGGAAGAAGGATGGGCTCTGGTGGACCAGCTGTCAGAAGCAGCCTGGGAGGCAGCGCAGGGAGCCTGGTAAACCGCAGCACCGTCAGCGGGCCCTCTGCACTGCCCCTGAACTCCAGACAGCTGGAAAAGGGCTCTGCGTTCGTCTGGGCGCTCCTTTTTTTATTCCCTCTCTAAGCCCTTCAAACACTTCTCAGAGGGCGGACGTGTCTAGGCTGCCGCAGCCCCGGTCTGTTTATAGGACTGTTTACTCTGCTGTGCGCAGGCAGGAGTACTGTTGCCCTGGCAACGGCTGCCTGATGCAGGGTCTGCTCGGAGCGGCTGGATAAATATGGAATATTTGTACAAGTATGGTCAGAGGTACAGCACTGGAGACCGAGGTATGCATGATACACAGCACAAGGAGGCTTTGCAGGAAAGTGCATTTGAAAAGGAACACCAGGGAGAGCCATTTAGCGACAGCAGCAAGCGCACCACAGGCCACAGCGGTCCCCTTTTTCTGGTCAAATATGGATGCTTTTATGGATTTGAGAGGAAGGGAAAAAAAGAAAAGACCAGCAAAAGCCCTGAACTGCTGATAGAAGAAGAGGCAGACATGACCAAGTGGCAAAGCCATCTTCTCTCCCCTGATCATGACCCGGAGCTACAGGGTGGAAATCCTAAGTGGCAGCTTCAGGCTTGGAGCCTCCATGGAAAGGGAGGGGAGATGGAGATCCTAATGGGAGGTGCTGCTGCTGTGGATTGGTTCTCTGTCGCTCAGCCCCTCTCCTTTGAGACTGGAGAGTTCCTGGGTATATGATGAGCTGTTAGGCTATGAGGGGAGACTGAGGGGTTTAGGACACAGGGCACTTGCATCACCCAAGTCCCCCAAAGGCAAAGCAGCCAGATGACGGTCTCCCAGCAGTGCCGATCCCCAGGTTGATACCCTGCAGCAGGGCAGGCCTCAGGGGACCAGGGCAGGGTCTGTGGGAAAGGGCTGGCCACCCACGCATGCCCACTGAGCATGCAGCAGCCACCCTGTGCACAAAGTGGGTGCTTCTGTCTGCACAGGAATCTCCCCAAACACTAGCTAAATTTTCATATGACTGCATTATTATGATGAACCAGGACACAAACCACTTCTTTTTCAGTCCTAATAAAGCCTGTTAAGAGGGTCAAAATGGGCTCCCAAATACATCATCTCCCCATCTCTCTGTAGGTAAGTTCCCCGCAGCTCCTGAACAGACCGGGGCTGCTGCATAAGCCTCAGGAAGATCAGGCTGTGGCCTCACCCACAGTCATCCATGGCCAATTTGTTTTTTGCTCCTCCAAAGGGTAGCTCCTTCCCAAGTTTCCAGAAAAGGCAAACTGAAAGAAGCAGCCACATGCAGCCTGAACTGGAACAGGGCTGAACAAATCGGTTATTTTGCAAAGGGAAAATGCTTTCCACCATGTCGGTGGACCTGACTGCAGGTTGGGGGTTTACAGTTGATGAGCCATGTGAGTTCTCATTGCTGACTTTTGAAAGAAGACATACTTGCCAAGAGCCATTGGCTTCCTCGCCTCTCCTTCCCTACCTCACTAAGTTGCTGAGACTGGCTTTGAATTCTCAGTCCACGTTGGTTCCTCCTTCTGCTGATTCCCGAGGAGGATAAGGAAGACATCTGTTTATCTTTCCTCCTGAGGCTTCTCCCTTTCCTCTGGTACTGAGGCTTGAAGCACATGGACCCACCTCAGAGGTGGACCTATGGCCAAGTCAGGACCTAACGATGCTTATTATTATTATTATTATTATTGAATCCAGCGCTTGGATAAGTGTTCTACGACTGAGCTACATCTCCAGAACCTTCTTTCCTTTTTATAGATGTCAGATCTTATGATTTTTTTTTTTCGGTACTAGGGGCTGAATCCATAAGGGCTCTACCACTGAGCTACACCTACACAGGGTCTAAGATGCCCAGGCTGGCCTCAAACTTAAGATCCTCCTGCCTCAGATTCCTGACTCACTGGAATTACAGGTGAATACCCCTGCACCTGGCATAGAAAAGAATATCTGGAGGAACTGACTTAAAACTCGAAGATACACAGTCCCTATGATGTGAAAATGGCTTATTCTCAAGTGATCCCAACAGAGATCAAGCACTTGAGACATAGAGGAAAAAAAAAAAAAGACATTGTTTGAACCCTTGATCTATCCTTACCTGAAGCTAAACTATTCCTTTTTTTTTCAATGCTAGGGATTGAACCCACTGAGCCATATCCCCAGCTCTTTTTTTGTATTAATTTAGAGACAGGTTGTCACTGAGTTGCTTTGGGCCTCACTAAGTTGCTGAGGCTGGCTCTGAACTCTTGATCCTCCTGCCTCAGCCTCCCCAGCCACTGGGATTCCAGGTGTGCACCACCATGCCTGACTACTCCTTGGCTTTTCTAGCAACATGAACCAAGAAATTTCCTTTTCCACTTAAGCTAGTACACGCTGGGCTTCTATTATCAGCAACCTAAGGGATTCTGAATATGACAGACACAGAGGAGGTCCCACCGGGAAGTGAGTGCCAAGCACCGCCTTACCTATATGTTGGGCACAGGTGTCACAATATTCCGCATACAAGGACTCGAAGCAGTGGCAACAGTAGGGCCTCCCCTCCTTCATGATGTAGCGCTGGCCGCCCAGCACCGTCTCGCACTCGAAGCAGCAAAAGTGTTTCATGTGCCAGTGCCGCCCCTCTGCTTCCGTGCATTCATCTGCAAAGATGATCTGGAGATGGGGAAGCCAAATGGTCAGCGTTTGAGACCCGGCCATAAGAGCACACTTGGTTTCTTGTACGAGGGATTGAACCCAGAGGTGCTTAACCACTGAGCCACATCCCTGACCCCTTTTATGTATTTTATTTAGAGACAGGGTCTCACTAAGTTGCTGAGGCTGGCTTTGAACTTATGATCCTCCCACCTCGGCCTCCCAAGCACACTTCTAAGCAGGAAAGTTACAGGAGCCCTAAACTGGAAGGGCAAGGAAGCAGGTCTCACCCATAAATCGTTAAACAAAACCAGTCTATGTGTGTGTGTTCTGTGTCTGTATCAGTTCCTACATTTGGGTTTGCCTGAAGCACAGTTAAATATGGTGCCTGGCCTGACCGGTGATTAACTTAGCCACATTTAAATAAGAGAGAGAATGTTTTACCCTGAAGAATATAAAGAAGAATGAAAAACAGCTCTTGGGCACACTGGACATACGTGTGTTTCATTTAGCTGCTACACAGTATGTTTAGGAATGGAAAATATCATGCAAACACCTGGAATCCTGGTTTGTCCTCTGAAACCTAATACTGACCGAGGCTCACTATCCATTCCTGCACGGTGGTAAAAGGTGGAACTAGGCAGCGAGAGTGCTGCTTTCAGAGGAGAGGCATGTTGTCCAGTTTGTCACAGTCCTCACTACTCCCTAGTGCCTTAAGATGGGGCAGTAGCTTCATTTACGACACCTACCCAGCCCGCTAAAGCAGTTGTGTTTTGTGTACTGATGGACAACTACGCTACATTTCAAAACACTCTTATTAAAACTTAACACCAAGCTACAGTCACCAAGCCAGCATGATACCGACCTTAGGATGGACGTGGGACTAACTAGAAGAGAGTCCAGGAATAATCAGTCAATGGCCCACAGATTGTCAAAAAGGGTGCCAAGAGCATTCCACGGGGAAAGAATGGTCTCTTCCATAAATGGGGCTGGGACCACTAGGAAAGAATCGATTCAAATCCTTACCTCAAACCACACGTGCAAGGGATCAAAGACCTAACCATAAGAGCAAAAACTGACAAGGGATCAAAGACCTAACCATAAGAGCAAGAACTGATAAAACACGTAGAAGAAAACACAGGTGTAAATGTTTTTGCCCTTGGGCAAGGCAATGATTTTTTAGATATGACACTAAACATATAAATAAAAAAAGAAAAAAGCAGATAAAGTGGACCCCATCAAAATGCAAAACTTTTATGCTCCAAAGGACATCATCAAGAAAAGGAAAAATACAACAAATAATAATAAATGCTAGAAAGGATGTGGAAAAAGGAACACTTTTACACTATTGGTGGGACTGTAAATTGGTATGATCGCTATGGAAATCAGCATGGCAGTTTCACAAAAGACTAGGCATGGAACCACCATACGACCCAGCTATACCACTTCTAAGTATTTATCTTGAAGAATTAAAGTCATCTTACTACAATGACACATGCATACCCGTGTTTACAGCAGCACCATTCACAATAGCCAAACTATGGACCTAGGCTAGGTGTCTACCAATGAAAGAATGGATAAAGAAAATGTGGTGTATATACACAGTGGAATATTACTCAGCCTTAAAGAAGAATGAAATTAGGGCAATTTGCAGGAAAATGGGTGGAACTAGAGATCATCATGTTAAGCAAAATAAGTCAAACTCAGAAGGCTAAGGGCTGTATGTTTTCTCTCATATGTGGGAGCTAAAGCGGAAAAAGGAAATGAAAGGTGAGGATGGATCTCCTAAATATCAAAGGAAAGAGACCCAGGGGTGAGAGGCAGGGGAGGAGGGGGGATATGCTGGGGAGTAATACTAACCAAAATATATTATTATATTGTGTGCATGTACAAATATATAATCATAAATCCCATCAGTATGTACAACATAATGTACCAATAAAAAATGTAGGAAAAAAGAAAATGAAAATAACACCATAAAATTGGAGAACATATTTCAAAATTATATATTGCATAAAGGACTAGTACCCATATTATTAGAACTCAGTAAAGAAAAATAACATATTGGAAAAAAATGGCAAAGGATTTACACAGACATTTCTCCAAAAGAGAATATACAAACAGATGATAAGCATTACTAGTAACTCAACATTACTAGTAGTTGTGAAAACATGAATCAAAACCTCCATGGGATATCACTTCACAGATACTGGAGGACTATACCAAAAGACATGGATGAGACAAAAGCAGACATTAATAAGAATATGAAGAGACAGAATCCTCATTCATTGAGAGCAGGAATGCAAAATGGTGTAACTGTTTTTGAAAATAGCTTTGCATTTTCTCAAAAAGTCAAACTTAGGATTACCATATGACCCAGCAATGCCACTCCTAGATAGATACACATGCAAGAGGGTAAAATATACCTAGAATCTATTCACAAGCAACTTCGTTCATAATAGCTAAAAACAGAAACAATTTCAATGTTCATCAATTGCTTAAAGGTTAAGCAAAATACATATAACTCAGCCATGAAAAGGAATGAAATACTCGTATACACTCTGACATGGATTAACTTTGAAAACATCCTGCTAAGTGAAAGAATCCAGATGCTTTTATTTCATTAATAAGAAATGTCTAGAATATATAAATCCGGAGAGACAGAGAATTTAAGCAGTGGCTGTCAGGGCCTGGAAAGAGAAGAATGATTGCTAATAGAGACAGTCTTTTTGGTTGATGAAAATGATCTGGCATAAAACAGGAGTGATGATCTCACAACTCTTTGAATACACTAAAAACCACTGAGTTGTCTATTTTCAAAGGGGAACTTGAGCTATGCACATTATATCTCAATAAACACAAATTTCAAAGTACAATTCCTTCCATCATTGCATTCTCTTTGGCATTAGTGAACCCAAACTTGCCTTAAGGGCATGGATTGCCAGATGTGGAAACTGAGGCAGGATGGTAAAGAGATGATATAGAATCGCAGAGCTGGATCTGAGTTCAGTTCCCCAGTGTATGCTCACAGAGTCTCTCTGGTGCATTGCTATTGGCATTAGAACCCAAATTATTATAATTATTTTTTGGTACCATGCTGATTGAACCCAGGGGTGTTAAACCACTGAGCCACATCTCCAGCCCTATTTATTTTACTTTTTTTTATTTTGAGACAGGGTCTCGCTAAGTTGCTTAGGCCCTCACTAAGTTGCTGGGGCTGGCCTTCAACTTGTGGTCCTCCTGCCTCAGCCTCCTGAATTGCTGGGATTACAGGTGCCCTCCTGACATTGAGAATCCCTTTTAGGCCATTTTATAAGAGAAACACCCATGTGATTGTGGGTTCCAGCTGGAAAAGGGCAGTGTTCTCTCCCAGATTGCTTGCTTATAAGGTCAGGTGGACCCCAAAACACCTCTATGCAGAAGGAAGCCTGGGTCTAAGGCCTTACCCCACAGGATTCTCATAAAAGTGGTCAGGTTTGGACCGTTCCTCTCTCTGCTCCCAGTCATTCATTCTGAATCAGGTCTTCTCTCCTGCAGCCCACATATCAAACATGAGCTTACTTCTGGCTCAGGGGAGGGATGGGCCAGGTAGGGGCCTTACGTTCTATTCTGACTTCTTACTTGTGTAACACATTTGGACACCGCCTAGAGTTAGGTGCCCTGGCAGAATAGCCATCTGCCCCCTGAATTTTCACTGAGAACTTGTTTAAACAATGGGTAAATCAAATAGCACTACCCAGTCTCTTCTTTTCTCTAATCAACCTGTCCCGTCAAATCTTGGGCAAGTGGCACCTCATATCATTCCCTAGGATTTAGGCTGAAATCTAAAGCTTCACAATGCTTTTTTTTTTTTTTTTTTTTTAAAGTTCTGAGCTGATCTAGTGCCAACCGTATCCCCTTGGGAATTTCCCTGGCCACACTCAGTAAATTGGGCCATAAACCCAGCCATGTAGCGACCTTATTTTTGCAGGGATTGGGGGTGTGGTTCCTGGAGATTGAACCCTGAGTCTATACCACTGAGTTATATCCCCAGACCTTTTTCTTTCTTTCTTAAGTTTTGAGACAGGATGTCGCCAAACTGCCCAGGCTGGCCTGGAACTTGCCACCCTCCTGCCTCTACTTCCTGAATCACTGGGATTACAGTGGGCTGTCACCACACCCAGCGAAGGTTCTTGAAAGGGTTAAGGTTTGCCTATAGTTCTCTGCTGTACAGGGAGCTACAGAAGGAGGAGGCTGTGGCTGTGACGCAGCCCAGGGGGTGACAGGGAACAGGTGCAGGCTCTGACCTCATCGCAGGCTGCACAGCGTGGCTTCAGGCACTCGGCATGGTGCCGGCCGCAGTAGATCTTCCCGTCTTGGTAGAAGTAGATCAGATCCACCAGGAGCTCATTGCAGACGGTGCAGATGAAGCATGGCGGGTGCCAGCAAACCCCGTGGCCGGCGCGCGAGGCGAACACGGCGATGTCCCCGCCATTAATCTGGCCTCCGCACTGTGAGCCAAAGAGACACATCAGCACCCAGACACCAGCCCCATCTCCTAGTGCTGTGCACAAATGACAAAAGGCCGCCACCACCAGCTGGTGACCAGCCCCACTGTGTTCCTTCCTTTACGTTCCTTGGCGGGGCAGGTCTTGCGGGTCCTTCTCCTGCCCTTGCCTAGGGTCTCCATGAGATGACAATAAAGAGACCTGGAGAAGGAGGTCTCTTTATTGTCATTAGGAAGGGGGGACGGGAAGAAAAAAACCTCAGCATAACATCAGGCAAGGGGCCGTGCATATCTTCTAGAAATTCCAAGCTGCACTCAGAGGGTCACCTGCTCAACACCAGCAGGAGCAGGCTGGGGAGGAAGGAGGGCAGGCGAGGGGCGTGGCCGAGGGGCGTGGCCGGGGCGTGGCCGAGGGCTGGGGCCTGCACCATTGGATGGAACAGGGAGTGGGCGGGCCTACCAGAGCCTACCGCTTTAACTACCTTTTCCAGGTATCATTCAAGTTTGCTTCTACTCTCTTCTGACATCCTTTTACATAGTCTTGATCGAAATGTACCACTTCCCCCCTCCCAGTACTGGGGTGATCTACCACTGAGCTACCTCCCCACCCCTTTTAATTTTGAGACAGAGTCTCCCTAAGTCACTGAGGCTGGCCTCAAACTGTGATCCTCTTGCCTCTGCCTCTGAAGTCGCTGGGATTCCAGGTGTGCATCACCAGACTCAGTGGCCAAGTCCTACCCCTTTTTTTCTTTTTTAAATTCAGATCCCACCCTTTAAAGGGCACTGGTACTGGGAAGATCCTGGGAGAGGGGCTGGATCATGGTCCAGGCCATCTCCATTAGTAAATGCACACATTTCAAATATGAATCCCTCATGTCAGTCCTCTGCCAGGTACTTCCAGGGGCTCACATGACCCTCCACGAACTCTCACTTTATTTGCTAACTGTCTTCCTTCACCTGCTCTGCCCCAGCCACAAGCTGTTGTTCCTGGTGCCCCAACCCCTGCATGACTCCCTCCCTCTTGCAAGTCTTTGCCGAGATGCCCCCTTCTAAGTGGAGTCTTCTCTCCCATCTAAGCCTACAGCTTCTCTAGCCTCCCACTCCTTCCCGGTCCCCTTCTCTGACATATTTTTTGTTGTTCTTGGTTGAATGTATTGTCTTCTTTCTCCAGAGAGTGCTTCCTTACAAAGGCAACATTACGTTTTCATGTCTTATATACTACTGCATTCTCGAGTCTAGAAAAGTGCCAGGAGTACAGTAGGTACTCAATAAAAACAACTGTAAAATGAATGAATGGGCAGATGAAAAAATGAATGAATGAGTGGGTGAATGGATGGATGGATGAATGAATGAATAAACAGATGAATGAACAAATGAATGAATGGACAAATGCATGAAGGAGGGACAAATGAATGAATGAACAGTTGAATGAATGAATGAACAATTCCTCTTCTGACCCAGGAGTCCACACTCACCTGCTCACAAATGGCCCCTGTCATGGTGACAGGGAAGGGCCTGACATTCCCTCTGCCCAGGTTTTCACGTTTCCTCTGGTTGCTGAACAACTTAAGCTCCCTCTTCTCTTCCTCATCCAGGGAGTTGCAGTATCGAACCTGAGCACACACAGAAGGCAGACGCCCCATGAGAGTCCTGAAGCCCAGGCCCCAGAGTTTCCTGCTGCTGCTTGGTTTTCCAGTCCCTGCCTGGTCTGACAGCAGTCTCGGGCTTGGAGCGACTTAAGATGAGCTGCTCCTAAGATCATCGACAACCCGAGGGGCTAACGGAGGGCTCTGAACTCCGGAGCCCAGGCCCCCGGCAGCCCATGGATTCTGCAAGTGCTTCTTTCTCCCTGTCTTCCCTCACTCTGTGGACCACCCTCAGGCCCAAGTCACATGGACAGGCGGAGCTGGCAAAGCTCTGGGATGTGTCTTTCCTCCCAATTGTAGGTACCTGATACTTTCTCCTGCAGCTACCTAGGTAAAGGGTCCTTGGCACCAAGAATGGTCCCAGGCCACTGAGCCAGGGCCACTGTCAATGTGCACATGGCTTCTGTCCCCATTTCACTTGGGAGAGTGGGAACGTGGAGGCTCGAGCCTGTGAAGCTGCAGCACAGGTGTGCTCAGGGTTGCAGGATGGGAAGGCTGGTTTGTCTGGGAGCAGGAGGAAAAGGGCCGCCTTCTGGGCTTCGGCTAAGTGTGACAATGTGCAACAGAGATTGTTCTTCTTGTTGAACACAGAATTAAGGGAAGGACACTCAAATTCAGCATTTGCCATTTTCTCCCTTATTTCTGCAGATCTGGTCATTGCAACATATTTCTGAACTATTATCTATTAATGCTGGTTTTAAAAGTGAGTCATTTAGCTGGGTGCGGTGGCACACACCTGTAATTTCAGCAGCTCTGGAGGCTGAGGCAGGAGGACCATGAGTTGGAGGCCAGCCTCAGCAATTTAGTGAGGCCCTAAGCAACTCAGTGAGACCCTGTCTCTAAGTAAAATACAAAATAGGGCTGGGGATGGGGCTCAGTGGTCGAGTGCCTGCCTTGCACATGTGAGGCAACTGACTGGGTTCAATCCTCAGCACCACATAAAAACAAATAAATAAAGATATTGTGCCTATCTACAACTAGAAAAAATATTAAAATAAAACATACAAAAGGGCTGGGGATGTGGCTCAGTGGTTAAGTGCCCCTGGGTTCAATCCCTGGTACCAAAAAAGGAAAAGGAAAAAAAAATCCCCCAAACCAAAAAACGTCCTCACGGAATGTTTCAGAAAGAGGACTGCAGTGACCTGAGCTGCCCGGAACAGACGGTTCCACTACTGACATTTTATGAGCACATTTTTAAAGGCAGACACGCCCCTCCTGCTTGTGAAAACCCGCATTTTCACTTCAAAATTAGTTTAATTGGTCAACAGGTTACAACATTTGCTCTCAGATTTAAAGGAGAAAGCATGATTTGTGTTTGTTTCATGAAGTGTGAAGGAAGCAGAAAGAGAATTGCAGCTCTCTTTCTAGAAAGATTATGACAGATTTAAGCTTTGGTTCTGCTGACCCAAATTCATTTATTTATTTATTTTTTGTGGTCCTGGGGATTGGAACCCAGGGTCTTGAGCAGCCAGTCAGGCTCTACCACAGAGATACACCCCGGCCTAGGCCCTGACATTTTTTAACATTTTGCGGGGGAGGGAGGTAACTGGGGTTGAACCCAGGGGCACTCGACTACTGACCCACATCCCCAGCCCTATTTGGTATTTAGAGACAGGGCCTCACTGAGTTGCTTAGGGTCTCGCTTTTGCTGAGGCTGGCTTTGAACTCTCGATCCTCCTGCCTCAGCCTCCCGAGCCACTGAGATTCCAGGTGTGCGCCTCTGTACATTTGTTCTTGAAGTTCTCAAATGGTCCCCTTTTATTCCAATGTGGGAAGACAAAACTAAAAAAGCACTCATTCACTTCCTGTTGGGGTGGGGGGAGTCGGAAGAAATCGGCTGTCCATTTTTGTAAAGGGGTTGTTTTTTCCTTTCTATCTAAAACCATGCTTTGTTTTAAATGCCAAGTTAAATCGCAGGATTTCACAGGAGTCCTATTTTTCAAAAGCAGATACCTAAAAATTAATTTCTAACTGGCAAACCTAATCCCTTCCAGCAAGATCTTTTGCCACAAAGTCCACAAAGTCCCTCTATGATCAATGTGATCTCAAGGATGAGGAGGATGTGGCTTAGCGCACGGCGTTCCTGCATTCAGAAAAAAAAGTGCAGTTGGTGAGCCACACTTTCAAAATGGCAGAGGATGACCCTAAGAATCCGGACTTCATTGTGACAAAAGCCCCTGAGGTTGAGACCCGTGGAACGTGGAGGACGTGCTCACCCATTCAACAGGAAATGGGGCTGGACAAGTCCCAGAGACTCGCCAAGTCTCATCAGGGCTTCAGAGGACCCAGGGACTCGGGTCCTCTGCTGCAACCCACGCAGGCACTCAGAGGACCCAGACCTGAGCTTTCTTACTTTATTGCTCCCTGGTTCCTTCCCCCAGCGAGCAGTGCCTGCCACAGAGGCTAACCCAGTCCATGATGACACTCTGTTTTTGTTTTGGAGGGGGTGACACTTTTTGGAAAGTACTGGTCACTGTCCTTTGCCCCTCCTTAAAGAAGCAAAAACCTCAAGCAAATTGCCAGAGTTTTCTTCAGCCACCGGCTGATCACGGACAATTCACAGAGGTCCTCCGGAGCCTGGACCCTCTTACCTCATTGTCATGTGGCGGGAGCTGGTGCAGCAGCTGCTTGATTCGCAGTTTCTCTCCGGGGCTGTTGACATAGGGGACTTTCTCTTCTGGCAGGCAGCTGTAATATTGGTGCACCTGAAGGAGAAAAAAGAACACGTGTCCTCACTCACGTCCACTGCCTACTGCCCCGTAAGGGGACCAGGATTCCCCGCCCCCCACGTAGGGCGCAACCCAACTCGATGGCCCCCACCCAGCGGGACACAGCCCACAGCCTGCACTTCTTACTGCAAGCGGAAAAACACATCCTTAAAGAGAGAGCCAAGCAAATCGCCCCTCACTTGGGGCTTCCCCTCTCTGCAAGGGAAAAATAAAGCCAAGGAGCTTGGATAGCAAAGGAGAGATCAGTGATCACGCTGGGGAGGCCGCAGGGTAGGGCTTTCTCGCTGGAGTCCCCCGTGTCCCACTGGCTTTACCATTTTCTGAGCGTCTCTGGCGTGTGGGGTGCCTCCCTAGCCAAGGGATATGTCTGCGCCTGCCTGGGTGCTGCAGTCCAAGCCTGTCTCTGGCACGGGGTGAACTCCTGGGTACCTCAGCCTCCACCTATGTGAAAAGCCTTCCAGGTCTGGAGCCACTTGTGAGGCGGGCTGTAGCTGCCAGCCATCAGAAAGAGGCTCACCAAACTTGGGGTGCACAGCGCGTAACTTTGCATCGCCAGGAGTGTGAAGATTTTTGCATATCTTACAATGCTCCTGTTTATGACCCGTAGGGTCTATTCCTGCACTTTCTGAAGCTCCTTCAATCTGATGTATGCGGAAAGCACCAAGAACCTCATTTTGCTGAGAAAAGAAAACAGAAGTTGGGAATCAGGCGTGGTGGCGCAAGCCTATAATCCCAGGGGCTTGGGAGGCTGAGGCAGGAGGACTGGGAGTTCAAAGCCAGCCTCAGCAAAAGCAAGGCCCTAAGCAACTCATGATACCCTGTCTCTAAATAAAATATATAAATGGGTTGGGGATGTGGCTCAGTGGTCGAGTGCTCCTGAATCTAATCCCCGGAACCAAAAAAAAAAAAAAAAAGAAGTTGGTATGTTGGTATAATCTGTAATTCCAGTGACTCAGGAGGCTGAGGCAGGAGGATGGCCTGTTCAAAGCCAGCCTCAGCACCTTAGTGATACTCTAAGCAACTTACAAAACCCTGCCTTTAAATAAAATATAAAAAGGGCTGGTGTATGGCTTGGTGGTTAAGTGCCCTGGTTCAATCCTTGGTACGGGGGGAAAAAGACATTCTACCATCCAGCCATGTGTATAACAAGGGAGAGAAAAGACAAGATATGCTGTCATAGAGGAGGAGCAGAAAAAAATCCTATAGGTTCACACCACGTCATGGAAAATGCTCCCCAGTGTCTCTGAGCATCATGAGCAGCCCTCACTGAACAAGCTCATTCAAGAAAACGAAAGGACAGAGCCCAAGGCTCCAACTCCCTCCTCGGGTCCCCTCCACACACTGGTCTAATCCCTTGTGTCTGGGGAGTCTTGGATCTGAACACATGGGTTGGGCTTGCTGGGGTGAAGAGCAGCGAAGTCTCCTCCACCTTGATCTCTAGAAGCCAAGCCATGAGCTTTAGCAGGGGAGAGGCTTGCGCTGGTGAGTTAGAAACATGCGGAAAGCCGTCTTTAGTTCCTTAACCAGTGATCAGAACCATCCTCCATCAGGTGCCCATCCGTGTCCAAATCCAACCCCCAAAGCAACCATAGGCAGAGCTCTGACCCAGCCCAGCTGGCTTCTGGGAGGCAGTGGACCTCTGCAGGATGATTCCCACCTGCATCAGCCTCGGGCAGCAGTCCCACGGGCTCCTTCAAGGTACAGACCCAGAAGGACTCCCCGAGATGGCGATGCTGTGCGGGAACTGGGGGCTGTGGAGAGGAGGGTTGGGCAGCTCCCATGGTCATGCACCCAGCAATAGAGAGGCACCTGGCAGGGAGACTGGCAGGTTCTGGGTTTTGAAGGAGCCAGCAGCCCTGAGAAGGAACAGTCCCATCCTAAATGAGTGTGGTGGCGGTGACTGCTACTTGCTCATGGGAGACTGGCACACGATTAGGGACTTCTTCAGGAGAGTCCTGTAGCTCATGGACAAGGGCCAGGTTTAAGGAGACACGCCTAGGGGTGTATCTTGCATGAAATGTATTGCCAGGTGCATGGCCACCAGAGCCTGCCCAACCTCCTCTCCAGGCCCCCAGGTACTGCACAACATCACCATCCCGGGGAGCCCCTCCTGATCAGCACCTGGAAGGATCCCTCTGGCCTACTGTGTGAGGCTGACGCAGGCGGGAATCTTCTCCGCATCTTGTACCACAAGGCAGTAGACCTGGACCTCCAGCCACCGACTATCATTTCCCATCTCTAGGTTCCCAAGCAAGTCACATAACTGCTCACAACAGGCACCCCAAATATCATGACGGTTAAATAAGAGTGGAGGTGAAGCATGTGGCCCTCAAGTTCAACAGATAGCACAAACACAAAACCAAATTTAGAGTATGGCCTTGCTGCGGGACTGCAAATTGGTGCAACCACTCTGGAAAGCAGTGTGGAGATTCCTCAAAACACATGGAGTGGAACCACCATTTGACCCAGACATCCCACTCCTTGGCATATATCTAAAGGACTTAAAATCAGCATCAGTAATATAGCTACATCAATGGTTACAGCAGCTTAATTCACAATAGCTAAGCTATGGGACCAACCTAGGTGCCCTTCAACAAATGAATGGATAAAGAAAATGTGGTATATATACACTATGGAATATTACTCAGCCTTAAAGAAGATTGAAATGATGGCATTTGCTGGTAAATGGATGGAACTGGAGACTATCATGCTAAATGAAATAAGCCAGTCCCAAAAAACCAGAGGCCAAATGTTCTTTCTGATATGCAAATTCTAAGACACAATCTGGGTAGGGGAGGTAATAAGAGAAGTCTACTGGGTTAGACAAAGGGGAATGAAGGGAAGGGAGGGGGATGGGAATAGGAAAGACAGTGGAGTGAACGGGACAGAACTTTCCACACGTTCATATATGCATGAACACACGACCAGGGAAACTCCACATCAAGTCCAACCACAAGAATGGGAAGTTAGATGCCATGTATGTATAATATATTGAAATACATTCTACTGCCCTGTATAACTAAAAAGAACAAATAAAAATTCTTTGAAAAATTAGAATATGGAATGGAACGATCCAGATACTTCCTGGCTTTTCTTCGTATTCAGATACGACGCCACACTGGTGGCGCAGAGGGTGATACCGAGCCCTGGAGCCACCTACCTTAGCCTAAGCAAGAAACACAGGTTGTAAGGAATGTCATGACAGAAAACTAGCCTGATGTCCCAGGGGGAAAGTCACATGGTGATAAAGGCGTGGTGCTCTCCCAAGAGACCCAGCAGCCAGTAGGGCAACAGGAGGAATCAGAAGCTGTCGCTGGAGGGTGCCTGGGGCTGGATTTCCGCCTTTGGGATCCCAGCGTCCTCTCCTCCTCCCTGCACAGATCTGTGGTGGCTTTCCCAAAGCGTCTCTTCGCCCTCAGCAGCTGAATCGGCAGGGCTTCAGCTCAGGAATCTGTCCCAGACCTAGGAGCTTCTCCCAGTTCCCCAGAGACGGCCCTGACGACCTTGCTCTGGGTTGACATCGGGAGGTGGGATCAGAGAAGTTCCAGGTGGTGAAGACGGAGGTGGGACCCCAACTTGGTGTGACCAGCTGAGGTGGAGCCGTGTGCTGCAGATCTCTGGGGTGGCAAGGTCCCTCCTGAGGACTGTGTTCTGAAGTCACCAAAGGCTTGGCGTGACTCTGTAGAGCCTAGACACGTCCTTTATAACTCCAGCCTTCAGTCCACTGGTGACATTTCTTCTTTCTACCAGTACTCCAACAATGTGTGTGGAGTGCGTAAAAATATGTTTTCCCAAGACAATCAACAATTCGATGGATGACTTGAAGGCCCATTACTGATCAGGGTGCCCCATTATGGAAACATTTATAAGTCTATGTTAAATAGCAGCCTCCCAAAGCGTCCCCTACCACAGGGCAGGTGATCTGGCAGGCTCTGCCGAAAAGGAGTGAGTCCCTTGTGACCTTCAATCCTCTTCAAAGCCTGTTCAGGTTCACAGGGATCCTGCTCATGTTGACTTCTATCTCCTCCTTTTATTTTGGTACTGGGGATTGAACCCAGGAGTGCTTCACCACTGAGCCCCATCCCCAGCCCTTTTTTATATTTTATTTAGAGACAGGGTCTCACTGAGTTGCTTAGGGCCTCACTAAGTTGCTGAGGCTGGCTTTGGACTTGCGATCCTCCTGCCTCAGCCTCCCAAGCTGCTGGGATCACAGCTGTGCACCACCATGCCTGGCTTCTTGCAGTGTTTTGACCCTGGACTCTCCCAGTTTTTCATCCAGCCGAGGGGACTCGCGGGTGGAGGGCAGGGGGAGAGAAACAGCTCCCCTGAATACCCAGCCTAGCTACGGGGATGCTGCCCGCACTCTCCTCCGCCACGGTCCATAATGAAAGAGCCGTACGGCTCAAAAACAAACACCATCTAAGCCAGTGCAATGAGAAAACACTGAGTCTACTTTTTGGCACCACAAAGATTAAATTTGGCACTGCCCCTGAGACACCAGCAGATAGCTCGTGTTGGCCCCAACACGCCGCATTCTTAGGAGTAAATAAGCAATCCCAACAGAGCTCACTCAAGGAGGATCATTCCCAAGATAGGACCTGGTACGCTGAGAACTTAGGTGTCTTCAAACACAGGCCTCTGGAATGTGCCAGAAGCTTTGCTCCCCGTCGACTTTCTTGGGTAAAGGTGTCCTGGGATTCTGCCTTGGGTGAAGTCATAGGAGGCTCGTTTTCTCCCCCAACAAAAGCCTTTTGGACACAGTACACCATCTTATGAAAACAAAATAGCTGAAGGCCTTTATTTAAGGTGTTGCTCCCCAACAGGAGGGTTGGCAGCAACTCCAGTCTGTCAGACGGGTTCTAAGAACTTTAGTCAGCATGCAGATAACTCCACAAAGCTAGCCTCGCCCAGTGGGAAAGACTGGGCTTGTTAGAAGGAACTGCACATTTGACAGCATCTCTGTCTGAGCGAAGAGG